GCATCACACATCACGGAGTTGGGAATGTTTCTTTTCCTGATAAATGACAAGAGTTAAACGTGTCATTACTGTTTGACTGGAAGGGGCAATATAAATACAGTTGCAACTTAAAATATGACTACAAATTATTCTTGTTTGAGTTTGAATGGAGATTTAATTTCCTGGCAGCTATATGGTTTATGCTAAAGTCTCTTTTTGCTATTATATGCTTTTCATTTCGGGGGTCTAAATGTTTCTCTAAGGTCATTGAATAGATAGATAAGAGTTACAGCCTTGGGTAATGCATACAGTAAGATTATAGAGAAGATTGAATAATCCAGAAGATGACACGTGAGAAGAAAATAAGAGCACTGTTCTTGCTCAGTTCAGAAAGCTACTATAGAGACTCAAATTTTTCTTATTTCAAAAGCATTGCTCATGAAACCTTAATGGCTTATGCTTCTACAATTTTTTTATTTTATTTTGTAGGGTTTTATTTACTTAATGAATCTAGTGTCAACTTAGTGGTGGAGTATCCTTTTCATTTTGATCTGGTTGTAAGGTGCTCATGGTCATCCATTATTTCCTTATTCCATTTCATCATTTGGTCAAGAGACAAAGAGCAGGAACAAGACCCTTCGGGGTGGCCCAGTGGTTTGGGCTTGGGACTTCCATGTTGGAGGTCTCAAGTTCGAAACCCCTTGCCAGCGAAAGCAAGGGGTTTGCCTTCTGGGTCGAGCTCGTCGCACCGGGCTTGCCTAGTGCGGGTTACCTCTCCTATGTGGTTTGCGAGCTATTGCATAGGAGCGGGGGTTTTACCCTGTGCGCACCCAAAGGGTAGCGGCTGCGGGTTTCCCTTGTCATCAAAAAAAAAAAAAGAGCAGGAACAACAAAACTTTTTGTTGCAATTAATGTTTTGACATTCCGCTAGTATGAGAGGAGTTGACAGATGCTTCTTTACTGTGTATAGGCTTGGTGGAAGGCAAAACTGATTTAGAGAGGAAATTCAGAAATGGTAAGTTAGACTATAATTATTGTTATTTTTGTTGTTGAATTTACAAGTACTATGCTCATTTTCTTCTGCTGGTATTTTCAGTCGGCACTCTTCAATTTCCACTCCTTTTTGACAGTAGTGCTGTTAGGGATTTGTACATGCACTTATGTGAAGATGCATTTTCCTGCACTTCTTGAACAGAGAACTGGGTAAGTCTTCTCTATAAGTAAGTTCGTTGTAGCTACAGTATAGGAATTTGGCATTGGTGTCAATGTTACCTATGTTGATTCTTAATAATTCATATAGGAGGTCCTTCTTTGTTTCCTCTAACTGGTTAGTAAAGGCTTAAGATTGATTTTTTATTTCCTTTATTGTGTGGATGCTGTTGGAGAATATCTTTTTGTAGTGCATTTTCTGAATTTATGCTACTTCTACCCCATGTTTTTATTATTTTGTCATGGTTGGAATTTCATGTATGATCACAATTAGGCAGCAGGTAAGCCTGTTCTACTGTTACTGGGTACTATGTAAACCTACAAGATGGTACATTCTGTCGTTGGATGGGCTCCGTTCTCATAAAGACACATTAGTCCTCTCCACACCCCTCCCTCTGGGACTCCCCCTTCTCCCTTCCTCCTTTAATGCCCTCCCTCATTCTTTTTTGCAACGAAAAAACAGTGCCGTGGGGGTAGAGAGACAAGTTAGGATTGGAAGAAATATCTTAGAAGAAGTGGGGTTCAGGAGAGAGGCACATGCTTTGTGATATCAAAATTCTTATCCCTTTCCATATTCCGTCTTTCATAAAGTTTAACACCATAAAATGAAGTTTCTAGTATGGTCTATGTACTAGCGACTCAAGACTGATGATTTTCTTCATGCAATTATCCTACTCCTGAGCTACGTATCCACTATGACAAGCCATATAACCCGTTTTATGCATCATATAGTACTTAAGAGGCTATGAGGATTTAAGGGTATCAGATGTACTTCTATTTCTCTGGGGAAATTAGTGGTTACACCTATGCGTGTAGATGGTTTTTCATTTGAAAATGGCTTTGCTAGGTCAAAAGATGGGAAACTCTTATCTGAAATGTTCTCACTGTGGTTGAACATAATGCTAGTTTTGGGGGAGAAAAGATAACAAGGGCACTTTTAATTGGATCTAATTTTTTCGTTGGCTTTTAATGGGGTTTCAACATGTCATTTTAAGTTGAGGGCATCTAGGCATTGACTATTTTGCTTGAATTTTCACGTTTTTTGAAGCTAAGAAAGTTCTGTAATATTTTCTCCAATTTTATCTCCCCCTAATGTTGTGGCTTGTTACTTTATTTTATGTATTATTTCATTTTATTTATTTATTAATTAATTTCCCTGTCTGCTCTACATCCTAACTAGATGGTAAACTTGGCAGGTTTCGAGGTTTCTTTTGGAAGGCTGCTAGAATAGGTAAGTTATCTCATTTGCTTGCAGCGAAGAACTGTCTGGACTAATTTCCTCATCGTTTTTACAGAATCAAAATTATTTTGCTGATTGTTAAAAACATTGCATGCATTTTTCTTATACCATTACTGGCCTGTATCCTAGTGAAACCACACCATATAACAGGATGTTGATGAAATGCTGAATCACTGCCGATATGAGGACATACAGTTGATATTTAGGCATCATACTTTGACAAAAACGAATAATATTTTCCTGGCTAAGCATTGTAATTCTCTCATAAGGCCTCATCTTGATAGGAAGTTATTCTCGTAATTCTCTCTTGCTTGACCAATTCATAATATTTTGGAATATAATGATCTTTTCCCTTCCCTGTTTTCTGCTTGTGTGATTCATATTGCTTAGATGCCTATTTAACCAAATCAAAAAACGTCACATATATGCCTATTTATCTTCATGGTGGTTCTTCATCCTTCTACTCTTAACTTGTTTATCTTCTGCTGGTTGGGGGGTTTTCTTTTTTGTTTAGAGAGCGCTTTTATTCTTTGAACATTTTTCACTTGGTCCAAAGTCAACAAAGTGGAGGAAAAAAATTGCTCTTCTCAAAAATTCTCCTGTACCTAAAATTTGTAATTACATGTATCCTAAAACACATTACTTGCATTAGAATATAGTGAATGTCTTTTTCCGTCCTACCATAATAAATTTTATCTTTTATCCATTTATTCTACCAATGCATGAATTTGACAAGGCCTATGATGCTTCAATGTGGACAGGTGAACGGTTGAGTCCTTGGGTGGCAGTGGGCTGCTTGACGATGGGTGTTTCAATAATCTTCTTCTGAGAGAACAACTGTTTGTAATTCATGAACGTACACTCTCAGCTGGGCTTAAATTAGCACTTGAATCTGTTTTTCATCAAATGATCTGTTCGATTAAAAGATGGCACGAAGCTTGATGTGAGACCAACACTACTTTCTTGATCATGAACTGAGTTTTATCGTGTCGAATTTTGGATTGTGACAATGTTGGACTCTCTGTTGTGTCTTTTTCTTTAGACTAATTATTTTACTGGAAGTAGTTATACTTTTGTGTCAAGAAGTCTGATGCTGTCTTCTACTTGTTTAAATGATGAGTATCATCAATCATGTCACATCATTTGCATCAACTACAGCTTCTTGAAGTAGTAGTGGATCCTCTCATCCACAACATAAAAATAATAAAATAGAAGAGAAACTATGAATAATTGAGTTGGAAAATATTGTCAAAATCGATGTCCATTCTTTTATGCCAACCATTAATTGGTTTGTCTTCTGGCCAGCTCCACCAAAAAAACTAGAGTATCATACATTATATGCCTTAAATACATGTAGAACACAAATTGTCACGTAGGATGTGTCTATTTGTTCAATTTTATACAAGTTTAAGTGTCTACCCGTGCATACCCAAAGTTGAAGGACATAAATATGAAATTAGACCAAGTTTAATGACATATTTATGTATTGTGCCTACAAATTATTCAACATATTTCATGTATTAAGAGTATGATAAATATATTCAATTTTCTTATATTTGTTTAATAAATCTTACGGGAAGAAAAATACATGAAAAAGTTAACAAGAAAAACTAGAAGACGAAGAAAAGGTAACTGCTACAGTTTTTTTTTTTTTCATTCGATGTTCGATATCATAGCCAACTAAATTTAAACCACGCCATGAAGTTCCATATTGAGGGTTAAAACGCTTCCTAATAAAGGCAATTTCGTACCTAGGGGACTCAAATTCGAGACTTCTGATTAAGAATAAAGAAGTACTTATCACTCCACCATAATCCTCGTTAGCCAATGTAGCTTTAATATCAACTAAAGTATCTTAATTATGGAAAATGATGCGGCTATAAAGCAGGTGGGAAATTAAAGAAGAGGAGGCTACTTGGGGGCCTAGACCTATGCCAATATGAATGAATGGTCTTTTATCAATGCTATAAATGCAGCATTTTTGTAATAATAATTATCCAGTTGTTATAAGATGAGTACAAGAACTAGTCTCGATTGAGTTGGTTATTTTGCACCACATTTTCTCATAATTGTCATTATCAGTAAAAAGTGATAAAATGACACAATGCAGTATGACGTCTAAAATGAACAAAGCTTGGTTAAGGTGTCCAAGTAAAAATTGGTGTCAACTTTAGGAGGCCACCGATGAATTATGCCAAAATAGATGATATACAAATAGACCATAAAAAATATGGTGTAGTGAATAAAGTTATTCCTTCATTAATCAGAGATTTTGATTTTGAGCCCGGTATATAAAAAGCGCTTCCGCCGAATGAGCCCTATGTAGAGAAAAAGATATCAAACACCGAACAAATATATCTCGTAATCCAAAAAATAAAATAGTGGTGCTGATTGTATACAATAAATGCTTAGGTGTCCAAGAAGTAGCTCTTAGTCATCTATCAAATTAATGAGGGAGGCAAGTGGGTGAACCCCCAAAGTCTGTTACCAAATATGGTAAAACAATCAAGTCCCCTACGCAACACTTCACTTATATATTATTATTATTTGAAGAATTGAACACTGTACTTGTGATTTTATACGTTGGTATCGTGTTTGATGTACATACGTCACTTTCTTTTTGGTTAAATTGGCCTTTGTTTTGTCTAATTTGTGCGCATATCAAATATTTCATCAATTACCTGCTATTTCCAACCTACAAAGCTAAGTCAATGAGAAGCCATCACCTTAAATGGTTGTTTGGTTAGGACCAAGGATATCCTGAGATTATAATACCGGAATTATAATCGCTATCCTAGTTTAGTTACTACCAATGATCAAGCACAGATGCTTAGTCTAAATAATATAGGAACAGATTTCTAGTTCTAGTTAAATTATGCTCTGCACTATTAATAATAGAGGTGTTCCTAGCTCTTTTCTAGTGAGGAATATAGTGAAAAATTATTTGAGTTTATAAATAAAATATTTTTCATCATGATTTTCACTCATTGCATTGACGGCAAGACCACCCTCCTAGGGTGCAAGTCTTTCTTTTTCTCACCACTTTTCTCAAGTTAATTTATATCTAGATTTCAACTCATCAGTCAGTCAAATACACCTATCATGGTCAATTGGCTTTACTTATTTCTTTCAAAGATTTGATTTTTCTAACTTCCCCCATCTTCCCCTTATATATTTTCCTTCTTCAACTAGGCTGAAAATTCCACAAACAAGAGGAAAATTAGTTATCTTGAGAGTGGGGTAGAAGCTTCTGCTTTCCATTGCTATTTATCTCACTAGTTATAGGTGCAAGGAAGACTCTGATGGAGGGGAAAGCAGAGGCAGTAACAATGAAGCCAACTAATGATGAACTACTTTCTAAACAAATAATGAGGCAGGAAGCAGCAGCAACAGAAAAACAAGAAATTCAAATGCGATGTGACGACGCAATGAAGCCAAATGATGATGAACTTCTTTCTAAACAAAGAATGAAGCAGGAAGCAGTAGCAACAGAAAAACAAGGAATTCAAATGCAATGCGACGACACAATTACAGATCAAGAGATGAACAAAATTGAACTAATGAGGGCTCTTGTTGAAAAGCAAGATCCTTCTTCCAAGGTATTATACAATTTTCTGCAGCATTGCAGCATTTCTCTCCCTTTCTAACTATAAAAATCAATATTTTTTAAACAAAAGTAGAATGATTTCCATGTACCTTGTTTGCAGGAAGTAGATGACTATGCCTTGAGAAGGTTTCTTCGAGCTCGCGATCTGGACATAGAGAAATCTGCAGCAATGTTCTTGAAATATCTTAAATGGAGGCAAAGCTTTGTACCAAAAGGGTCCATTTCAGTGAGTGAGATACCAAACGAGATTGCACAGAACAAGATGTTCATGCAAGGTGAAGATAAACAGGGATGTCCTATTGCTGTAGTTTTTGGTGGCAGGCATATTCAAAACAAATTAGGAGGTGTTGAAGAGTTCAAACGTATGACTTCCTTTTTTTCTTTTCCCCACCTAATTTCACATGGCCTACTGCTTCATGGTCAGTGAAACTAGCTTTTGAACCAGTCAATTTCTCACATCCAGGTCTTTCTTTGATGCCTCAGGTTTTATAGTCTTTGCTCTGGACAAACTGAGTGCAAGGTACAACATTTAGAATAATAGTAGCAGCTTTATTCCTCTCCTTTTTTACTTTTCCAAAATCAGCGGAAAACATCAGCAACTAACTCCACCATGGATGGAACACCTGTTTTTAATTTAAAAAACAACAAATTATTGAGTATTGAAATGTAACTAAAAAGGGCAGAATAAATATAGAGGATAAAAACAGCTCATCATTTGGACGGCAAATTATAGGGTTTTATTTGATGAATCAGGACCTCACCAGGAAGAGAGAAGTTCACAATAATCGGAGATCTCCAAAATTTTGGCTATTGTAACAGTGACGTCCGTGCCTATCTTGCGGCCCTATCCATCGTGCAGGTTTAGTCACCAATACTGTCTAGTTATTCAGATAGAGGCTTACCCTATTTTTGTCCATAATCTAAGAGACATCTATTTTGCAGGATTGCTACCCGGAAAGGCTTGGCAAAGTACTTCTTGTTCATGTTCCTTACATATTTTGCACATTATGGAAGATTTTGTATCCTTTCATAGACAACCACACCAAGAAAAAGGTGAGGTTCTAAAATAATTGTGTTTCACATAAAAGGTGGATGAATCAGTTCAAGAGTTCAGTCATACTTGCAGTTGATGTCGAGGATAACTTAGTGAGAGACTTGATTACAACTTGTATTACATCATCCTCACCAAACTATTTTCCATCTTCACAGATCATGTTTGTGGAAAACAAACGACTGACAGCAACCTTACTTCAAGATATTGATGAAAGCCAGCTTCCGGAGACTTACGGAGGCAAAATGCAATTAGTTCCTATACAGGACGCCTAGGCAAGTAATTGCACTAAAAGCTTCAACTTGATCAAGTTGACCGTGCTCTCTTTTTAATAGCTTTGAGGAAAAACATTAGTACATTGCAAATATACATCTATATGCATTACTAATCATTCAGCTTTACATGGAGTAGAAAATAAATGATATATTTTCCACCTGATCTGCTCGTTTGATGGCGTTCTTGATGAATCCAGATTCCATCTCTATCTATCATTTTGATATGACAAACTGGATGATGTTCAATCTTGATTCTGCAACAAGTGAAAAAGAGTTATACAGAATTCAATCAAATCCGTTTTATGTTTTGTAGCTGTTAAACGCGTCACTATTTCCTTTGCTTTTCTTTTGAAGCACGATACACTATTATATAATGAAATTTGCGTAGATGAGTTGGTTTTAATGTGTCCAAATCCAGCAATGCAGAACCACCTTTTATTGGAGAAGCGTACCATGAAATCGCTGCATCATTTGAAAGTCAACTTGCATTCTGGGAACTAATGCAATGAATTCTCAGATAATCAATTTTAAAATAAAGGGAAAATCTCTAACAAAAGATCAATAAAATTCTACTTCTCACATACAATAGGCAAGAATTAACTGATATGTGTGTGTGTGTGTGTGTTTATATAGCTAAATTCCAACTAAAGTGAAGCTTAAGAAGATTGAGACGCCACTGCAGAAAAAGTTTACTTCACAATCCAAAATGTTGTAACTACCCTTGACACGTCAAAAACTCTAGGTGCAAATTCAATTCAACAGTCACTTGAATGTGTCCTTTCTCTAAGAAGTAATCTTTCTCATATAATTACTGAATGTTTTCTCTGGAGCAACAAAAACCACTATTCTACCTAGTCCAAGTAACTCATACGGTCAAATCTACTGCACTACCTGCAATGAAGCTTCTGCTACTATGTAAATTATATGAACTACTGGTCACTTGAGGCAATTGCTTCTTTTTTTATTTGGTGACCAGCTCAAGTCTGCTGTTTTCTTGAGGAAATCTTTACTTTTTTCGCATTAGTTTGTCCAAGTAGCCAATCTAATCCAGTTTCCATACAAGGGGAAAGACTCAAACAGTTAAAAAAAATTACTCATAAAAGATTCAAACAATTATACAACAACAAGATATTCAAGAAAGAGAGAGTTTCATACCTCAAAGACCAGAAAAAAAACTTAAGAACTTCCTCGATGTAATCTTCAGCGAGTTCTTCCACACAGGGGCGGAGCCACCTTATACTAAGGGGGGTCATCCGAACCCCCTTCGGCGGAAAATTATCTTATTTATACATGGTTAAAATAGTTGTTTATGTATATATAGGATGTCGAACCCCCTTCAGCTACTTCGTCTGTCTATTTCTACAGATTTTGAACCCCCTTATTAAAAATCATGGTTCCGCCACTGCTTCCACAGACAGGGATATCTCAAAGCTTGGAGCTGAAGCATATGAATAAACCATTTGACACTGATTGTAACCAGATGCACTTTACTCAACTACTACTCAAGGAGGTCATCATCACTGTGGTGTGCTTGTACAAAGAGTGCAGACAGCAGGGCGATGCTAGAAACAGGCAAGATAAGAGCCACAAGAATCTTTGAGACATCCACTATAAGATGTCTTTCATTTTTATGAAGTTCACTATAAGATGTCTACTTAAGCTTCAATTACCAAACTCAACTGGAAATTCAAAGAATTGCTACCAGTAATCCCCACAACTACAATAACCATCTGCAAAGTGATGAAAGCGGATCCTGTCCCTCACAATGATTTCCCTATTCAACACCTTTGCTACCATTTTCATCCAAGAATGACAATCTGGACAAGTACGAAGATTTTTCGAAACTTGAATACGAGTTCCAGGACTAGATTTTAAGATCCCATAGGCTAATGCCAATTTTTCACTATGGTAACTCAAATTTTCCTCCTTTTCCTCATCAGAAATATCCATCAAAACCAACTCAGTCGTGGAACTAAATCCTTCCAATTTGGTTCGATGAATCAATTCCTTCAAAGTTTTATATATTAGTTCAGCTTCAGGGTGTGACCGGTCACCTGCCTTGAACTGGTGAACAACATTACCCACTTCAACCCAACTTTTCCCACTATTTTTACGAACTCCTTTCCATTTCATCACACATCTAACTTTCTCGGCGTTATCCCATTTCTTAGTCGAACAATAAATGTTTGACAGTAAGACATAATCTCCGCTACCAAGATGAGATATTTTTGTGCTAGCAACTTCACCCATCTCAGAATTTTTGTGAATTCTACAAGCACTGAGAAATGTCCTCCATATGACTGCATCAGGCTCTATTGGCATTTCCTTGATTACTGTATAAGCTTCATCAAGCAGTCCAGCTCTGCCTAGTAGATCAACCATTGTTCCATAGTGCTCAAGTTGTGGTTGAATCAAATATATATTTTTCATTAGTTGAAAATACTTTTGACCCTCTTCAACTAAGCCACAATGACTACATGCTGTTAAAAGTCCAATGAAAGTAATACTATCAGGTGAAACATTTTCTGGCCCCATCAATGAGAAAATCTCAATTGCATCTAAAGCAAAACCATGGATTCCTAATCCATTAATCATAGCATTCCAGACAGAGACATTTGTACGCTCAACACTATCAAATATTCCTCTAGCTATCTCAATTCTTCCACATTTTGAGTACATATCAATCAAAGCAGAAGAAAGGATGTAATTTAGTTCAATCCTTCTCTCAGTCATTAAGTGATGTACCCACTTAGCGTGATCAATGGCTCCAAGTTTAGCACATGCGGTAATGATAGATGCAAAAGTATATCCATCTGGTTCAACATTAGACCTCAACATCTTTCTGAAGACACTGAGTGCCTCCTTACACATGTCATTTTTGACATAACCACCAATCAGTGAGTTCCAAGTAACCAAATCCCGGAGGGGAACTTCGTTAAATATCATCTTGGCAACATCAACTGCCCCCATCTTCATAAATCTAGCAATCATTAAATTAGCAGAGACAGCATCAAAATACTCAGTAGGAATTTCAACAAGCAGCTGCCGAGCAAGATTGAGTCTATCGCAAGACGCATATGTCACTACCATCAAAGAAATAAGAGAAGGATACATTCCATAACCAAGTTTAATAATATTAGCATGTGCGCCAGCTGTAGTTCTCAAATTTGGTGACACCTTACATGCTTCAAGAATGCATAATAGTCTGTGATAATCTGCAAGATATCATGAAATAAAAAAGTAACCTTTAAGCATAAAGTTTTGATTTACAACAGAAATAGCCAGTTATCAAAAGGAAGGAAACAAAAAATATTTTTTTTCTGTTCAGATTTTTCAATCAAGTTCGTCACATTAGTAGTAAAAAGGGAAGAAAGATGACTCTGAATTATTCATATAGATTATTTGTGTTCATAACATTATTCATATACCTAAACCCAACTAATTTGAAATTAAGATGTATACAACACCATAAGCGGAGTCTCCAGAGGGAAATCCTTACCCTACCTTAGCGGTATAGAGGCGGTTTCAATAGACCCTCAGCTCAACGCAAAACAGTCCAAGAAACACGCAAAGAACCAATTTTGCTAGTGTATATAGTGATTAGACTATTAAAAAGTTAGTAAGAATATATAAGAAAGTTATTCAACCTTGTGAATAATGAGATTCCGTTGGAGATAATGAGAGGTGTAGTAGCCCTGTGCTAAAAGTAGCGCTGAGATTCTGAAGCCACGGTGAAAAAAAGGAAGAAGAAGAAGAACAATAGCAATAAAGTCTCCTCCGACTGCCGGCAATCCTGAACATCGTTTCAATTTCCTTCTATGTTCATTCGCACAAGTTCATTTTGATTCTGCAATTTCTCCATTGAAGAGAATTTCAAGAGTGCCACTACTGCTTCTCCATTCCTGGGGACCATGATTGGGCCGGATAGTAAATGGTCCGTAAGAGGCCCATGCTTATTTTCGTGTTTTGGTACTGTTCCTGTTTTGTGCTGCTGCAAAAGTTTAGACCATCTCCGATCCACCTCTATTTTATTCTCCCCTTCTTTATATTTGGAGAATATTATAGAGAATGGGCACTCCAACCCAATTCTATATCACCCTCTATTCTTCATATTTAGAGAGGTGAATTCACACTCTTTATTTCACTTTTTTAATATTTTATTATTATTTCTATTACTTTCTAATTAACATATTATTTTACATATAATGGCATTAATTAAATATCTACTATTCATACTTCTTTTAAATGTAATATAATATTTTTAAAATATATATTATTTAATATATACTACTTTCATTCCGAATTAATAGTATTTTTATTTTATTTTCGTCGATAATATAATTTGATTTTATTATTAATTTTCACTATAAAGAATACACAAAATTAAAATGATAAGATGAAAAATTTAATTTAAAAATACAATACATAATATGATAATTAAAATACAAGATAACAATACAATACATAACATAATAATTTAAATGCAAGATAAAATACAATACATAACATAATAATTAATTTGCAATGAAACAAGAATCATGCCGAAAAGATGTTGAACGTGCATTCGGA